GGAGAGGAGAGGAGAGGAGAGGAGAGGAGAGGAGAGGAGAGGAGAGGAGAGGAGAGGAGAGGAGAGGAGAAGAAAAAAAAAGAAAAAGAAAAAAAGAAAGCTTCTGGGAATGGGAGCAAGCAGGGCTGCTGAAGTTGCATGAAGCCAAATTTTGCTTCACATTTTCCATCATGTCTCTTGCGAGGACTCCATGGGGTTCACTGCAGCATAGGGGCTCCTACTAAGTGCAAGACATGTTCTTTATCTCTTTCCAACTTGCATTAACCTTTATATRCAAAATATTTTTGCAAAGATGAATCAAACTAAAATTGTCTGGAAAATTACTCATGATATAAATGATTCCTTTCAAATAAATACCTTTCCTGATTCTTCTGTCCCTATTCCCCAATATATTGATATTGAAATGTGCTACTCCAACAACCAAAGCAATGTATTTTCAAGTAGTTTTAGTTGCTCTTTTGTCTTTTGTTAGACTTCCAAAATTGATCTTCCGCTATGTGACAAAAGCTGGTGGACACATAGAAGATCCTCAGTTCTTAAACTGTTAGAAGCCCCTGGGACAAACACATCTTTATGGTTTCTTTCACTTGTGATCCATGCAAACATCATATAATCATTTAGCTATGACAACTGTCAGACTTTTATACTTTTCTTTTTTTCCTATTTTGTAACTAATTATCCTGTAAGAAGTAAGGCCAGTGTCCCTRCAGCAGCAGTCAGGATCTTTTTAAAATGCTTGTCAGGAAGTCATTAGATTAGTAGGAGACATGCCATAATGTCAATCATACCAAGCATTTCAATAATACCAAATCAAAGAGTTACTGGACTATTATAATCAGTCCAGTAACTGGTTATATTTTATATATTGTGATTTAAATTTTAGAAATGTCAAATTCAATAAGAATCCACACAATACATTTAAGAGAAAATGTTATGATGGGGAAAAAAAACAGGTTTAAGTCAGGTATCACTTCTCAGCATGAGGCCATTCATCTAGATTTTACAGAAGGGTCTGGATTTATCTTAATAGCAGCACTTCAACTCTTCTGATTGGTCCTTTAAGCATATTGATGAATGTAGTCTTTTTCAAGTATCTTGCAAAATAGTCAGTGACGTCTGTGACGTCTGATCTGACTTGTGGTTACTATCTTACTAGAAAAATTATATTCTTTTCCCATGTTGCCCAATGGGAGAAACTCATAYTCGTTCTAAGAGCAGCCAGCTCAATAAAGGAGAAAGATGCATGCAATAAGAAAGTGTGCTGCCTTGAAAAAAATACATATTCATCTTCTCATTAAATGAAGAGTTCTTATTTTTTTTATGAATTCAATATTCTCTCAAACAAGTAACTTTCTTTTCCTCTGATGGCTATTTGTAGTGTYCTGTTTACGGTTTTATATGCAAGCAGTTCCTATATATCATTCTCTCAACTGCAACCTTTGAATTTTACTTTCATATTGATTTCCATAGGTGATTTGCTTTCTGACTATTACCTCCTGAGGAATAATTCCATGAATGAGAATAGGGGGTAGTTATCAGTGGTAGGTGAGGATCCTTTCTGAACCCACATGAAATGCTGCAAGAACCCACAGCATGTGATGTTCAGAACAATCTTAATGACCTACAAGAGGGTGAGAACAACATCGAAAGATGGGATAAAGTACAGTGAAAATGCAAAAACATAGAACACCTTCGAGCAGTTAGAAACATATGCAAGAAAAAGAGGATATGGAATTATAAATATTATGAAGTGAATAACGACTAGTTGAGAGCTGTCTACCAAAAGACTTGTATGGCACATTGCATGATGCTAGTAAATTGAAATAAAGATTTGATCCATGCATGCAATTCTGCATGGAACTTCTTGTCAGAGGATGTTAAAATAATTACATGTGTTTAAACTCCCTGAAAATTGTCAAGTATTCCGCAAGCATATTCTCATATTCCTCTGTAACCCCCACCACTTCCCACTGTCTGACCTTGTAGGGCTATTATTATGCTTGCTAGCCAAGTTCAAGTGTTGTTTGAAACCCGGGACCCTGAAGGAAAAAGTCTGAGGAGCAGATCTGTCTAAAAAAGCTTGGGCTATCACTAGACAAACAACAACAACAGATTTGAAAGCAAAATAGACTCGTGCTAATTTGGTGGAGCTCCTGCAAAGAATCAAAAGCCCAGCTGAACCAGTGCAAACACATCTGGTGTGCAGCAAAAGGCTTTTGGCCCTTCTGTATCAGGAAAACTGGCAAGTCAGATGAGTTTAGAACAACAACTACGTGATTAAGAGACCAGAGTGTGATTTACGAGGAACAATTTCAGAAAAGATCTTTACAGCTTGCTTAAGGAATGATGTGAGCCAAAAGTGACAGCTGGGAGAAGAAAACAGGTGAACAGCCTAGATTTATTTGGAGAACGTAAACATGATAACAAGGGAAGAACTTTAGATTCTTAGAAAGGGAACTGCGTTAAAAAGGAACATGAGGCAAAATGTAAAGAAGCATGGTCAGGCTTGGGAATAATTTTGTCATGGCTTGCAACACACACACACACAAAAAGAGCTATAGACAGGGAAAAAGTGATAGAATATGTGGTAAGGGATAATCATGTGCTAAGTCCTTGGAGAGGGCTGTGGGATCTAATATTTCTCCCCATCAGTGATGTTCAGGACTCTTTTCTATGGCCCTGCCTTAAGAGGAACAGTGCCTCTGCAGTTTGATATCTACTGTGTCACCGGACAGATCTCTGCTTGGAAAGGTCCATTATGGGAAGTCAAAGGACCTTCATTCCAACTCCAGCACCATATAAACTCCCAGCAGGTCTCTTCCCTGCTTCTACAGAGTCGCAAGTGGAGATGTGACCCTCCATCCTACTTACTCTGTAGAGGCACCAGGATTCATTGCTCAGAATACAGTCCTAAGATCCCAGTTAACAGGATTCATTGCTCAGAATACAGTCCTAAGACACTGGTTAAGTTTCAGGCAATGGGCCAATTTCTGAAGGCTGCTGGAAACCCCCCCAGCACACAGGGCATCCAAAAGTCTGCTAGGTCTGCAGGAGTCTGACAGTGAAACAGGACCAGAAGCACAAAAAAGGACAAGTGGTGCTCCTCATTGAATGCAGTAATGAGGAGAATTAAGGAGAGATGCTCAGGACTAAGAGGGGAAAGGACCGCTGATGTTTTGGGAAGAATAGCCCCATCAAGCAACAAGCCTCCACACCACAAGTGTTACCTTACGAAGTAGGCTCTACACTACTTCCCATACCCTCAAGGGAGCAGCTTCCAACACCATTCCCTTATCCAAGCTTACCGAGGCTTGGATATCAATCATTCCCACACTGCAGTCATCCTACCAACAACTGTATTAGCTGCCTGATCCATCCCTAAGCCTCCTCCTGTATTTATAGGAATGGAGATGAGCTCTTTCCCTGCCCAACCTCCCTCTGAACATGATCTCCATGAAGTTCTTTTGTTGGCTATACTACTTGAGACACTGCAGAACCCTTTCTCATGCCCCCCTTAGATGATGTAGGATGCCCTCTGTTTACAGGATGTCCTCAGGCATCTCTGTTTCTGGTTCACCTATGATAAAAACTGCAGGTTACCCTAGAGACCTTGTGGCTGCTGCTCTGGAAGTTCACACAGTCAAGTTAAGTCAAGTTAAGTCCTTTCTATCACCTAAGGACACGGTGCAACCCTGCACACACACCCCACCCCCCCAAATCACCATTGCAGCACATCACATACCAACACACAAACCAAATACAAATCTGCCAGGGACACCTGATCTGACTATCTCCACATTTAAAACCGGATGACCTGTGGAGATTTAGTCATAGGTGGGACCCTTCCCATCCTGCTATCTTTCCTTCAGGAAGGGATGAACATGGCAGAGAGGGGCAGGATCCAAGAGAGGTGATTACCTGTATCCTGTCTTCTGGCAACTCTGTTTTCATGGCCAACATCTCTCTAGCATACACATCAGGGTAGTGGGCCTCGTTGAAGGCCTTTTCCAGCTCCTCCAGTTGGTAGGATGTGAAGATAGTCCTGAGGAGAATAAAACTCTTTGGTCAAAAAAAAAACATATGAGGAAGAACCAAAGGTTTCAAAAGATGAAGGACAGAAAAGCAAATGAAACCTGGGTAGCCTGATAACGCATAGCATTTCCCCCCACACACATCTGTCTTCTGTTTCAGTGCACAAAGAGTCAGGAGCAGAGGTGAACGGAGAACCCAAGAATGCCCAGAGACTGCAGTTTGTGTAGTCACAATTCACCTTCCCCATGAGGGACTTCCTTGTGGCAACAGTTCCCACCACCTCCCACCCCAGACAGCTACCGCCTTCCCTCATCCATGACCTGCCAGACCTCACCCGCCCTGTCCTGTATCCAAAGGTTTCTTAACCCTTTGCTCATCACACTGAGATGAAACAGCCGTCGTCAGCACCCTCTTTGGGGATGTGCCAATCTCTTCCCAAGGTGCTGGCCAGCAGCCTCCTCACACGCAAAGCAATGTCCTCCCAGGAGTCCTGCCCCTCAACTCCATCCTCCACAGGATTTATTCACTCTGCTCCCTACCACTTTCAGCCAGACCTTTCCCTGGAGAGCAGCCCATGTAATGAGATCCCAGGGGCTGCTCCCTCCCGCATCCCCCCTGGCTGCTCTCTGCCAGTTTGCTCTGCCCCCCCGAGATCCTGCCAGCCGCCTCGCAAGGGTGGCAGCCCAGCCCACTGCAGCCGCTGCACTGCCAGGTCTCAGCCCGGGACAGCCGGATTGAAAACCCAGTAGCTGGAAAGCCCGGATGGATGAAAACCCATCCCCGGGGGACGCGGGAGAGGTCGCAGACTCTCCCGAGGGGTAAATCTCCCACCTTCAAAGCCCCTGGCATGCAAAACATTATAAAAAAAAATAGACAAATACACTCGGATGGTAAAAAAGAACAACAGGAACTACAACCTTTGTTCAGATTTATGTATATTACCAAGCTAAGAAATATCTAGCTCCAAGAGGAGGGTAGGAAAGAGGGAAAACAGCCTTTACAAAATAATGCAGAATTTCATAAAAGCCATAAAATTCCATCTGGGGTAAATAGAAAGCCTCAAAATATCTTCTGCTATTCTAAATCTAACGAATTCTACCAGATCGATSAGGTTACTAACAAAAGGAGCATGCAAGCGCCAGGGAGCTGCCTGCCACCAGATCCTTATTTAAAAACAAAACAAACAAACAAAAAAAGCCCACACTTTTAAATCCATTTTATTTTCAATCAGTTGTCCTTCAGCTACAACATATCTGAAAGATCTTAAAATAGCAGAAATCCATTAGCTCGTGCTTCTTCTCTCTGGGATCACAAGAAAGATTATTCCAAATTTTATCTACCTTAGATTTTAAGCATGTACTCTCACCTTGTTCTGAGAAGGGCTCTAAAGCCCGGCAGCACTCACTGACAGAAGGCTTTTCCCTGATGGTCAACTCAAGTTTTCCCTTTGCAGGTACCCTGTCTGTCCCTTTTGCAGAGCACTTTCCCTTTTGGTGTTTACATCCTGCAGATATTTGCAGACTCTTGGCCTCTCCTCCCCACTCAATAAAACCAGAGCTCTCAGCCATTTATTACAGAAAACAAAACAGCTAAATGTACTTTTGCTGCCTAAAATGAAAAATTAAAGTAAATGACATTTTCTTTCTCTCATCTAAATTGTGACCTTCACACCAGTCCCTGAAGAGTTTGTACCAGCCTTGAGCCCAGTCCACATTAAAAAAAAGTCCCTATTTACTAATACATATTTACAGAGCAACCAGACTGAGACYGTTTGCCTTCGGAGGGACCCCTGGACAGGGACAAGCTCCCCAGACCCCAGCCTCTTGTTGCACAAATAGGGGAATGTCTTCTGGGACTGCCTGTCTCCTTCTCCCCTGCATCCTGTTAAGCTTTCACTGGGGCATCTTTTAATCCACCCTTGCTGTATTGTGGCAGGATTGATTTAATTATTGCTAAATCGCCCGGTGGATGGTGCCTGGCCTTCCTTTGTCCTGGCTCTCCGGCCACGGCAGTGCCAGAACCTGGCACCACATTTTTCACTTCTGTTGGTAAAGCGCAGGCAGCCGAACTCCATTTTAACGGCAGGAGAAGTCACACAAAGTGCCTTCCCCATCTGCTCCCGAGGGAAAATAAATGCCCTTAGTATCTCCCAAAGTGGCTCTTATTTTTCTCTTAAGCAACTCGGCCGCCTTTCTCAGCTTCTCTGCAGGCTACGTCTGTTTCTCAACTAATTAATTAATCTATTGCTGAAACATTTATTTATAAGTAATAAAATATTTAAATCATCGATAGAAACTGCCCCTTGCTGATCGCTGGTATTAAGATCGCTATAATGTGGGGCAGGGGACAGGTTTGATTATTTAATTGCTTCCCTTTGGGACAGGTTATTATTTTTTGCCCTTCTGAGAGCTGCGTCCAGCCCGAATGCTCCCCGGCGGCTCGGCTTTGGGGCTCGGGATACGGGGATGCGCAGCCAGGAAAAAAAAAAGAAAAAAAAAGAAAAAAAAAGAAAAGAAAAAAAAAAAAAGTGACACCTGTGGCAGGTCGCCTGCTACTTATGGTCACGTCCGAAACGCGAGTTATCCTGCCCGGGGAGGAGGGAAAAGGGGCCGAGCCCTGGAGAAGCCGCCCGGGCGCCGGGGTCCCGGGGCCGCTGGTGCCGGTGGGGCCGCAGTGCCCCGCTCACCTGTGCCGCCTCTTCTTTCGTTTCTTGCTCTGGTTTAGGGACGATTTGGACATTTTTCGGTCGCTGGAGGAGACATCCTCGGAATCTGCGGGGAGAAAGGCAGCGGCCGTGGGCTGGGGCTCCCTCTCCGCCGCGGACCCCTCCGCCTTGGCGGCTCCGCTCCCTCCTTCGCCTCGGGGCGCCGGTTTCGTTGCCGCCGCCGGCCGCTCTCCGCGGCCCGGATCGAGGCGGCGCGGCCCGGGGCCGGGCTCGGCCCGCCGGGCGGCCCGGGGCGATCCGCCCCTGCCGGGAGGACTCCAGGCCCGGCCTGGGCTCCCGCTCTGCCCCATCTCCACCGGAGTCGTTTGCCAGGCTGCTGCTGTGGCGCCGCTGCAACGCGAAGCCCGGCAATTTCAACAAAACCGTCCCAAAATGATGGGGCTGCAGCAGCCCCCTCCCTGGGGAGAGGCACCGGCTGCCTCCTGCCCCAGCCCGCGGACTCCGGACATCTCCGGAAAAAATACCGGAGGAAGAAAATAAAGACAAAATAAAAAGAAAAAGGTTTATGCAGCCACTGTGGGGGGAAAAAAATGAAAAAGGAAAAAAGAAAAAAATAATAATAAACGAGGAGAGCGAGTGCCTGTCTGTCTGCGMGCGCCGCGCGTTCCCGGGGGTGCCCGTGCCGGGGGGCGTTAGGGACCCGCCGGCGCTGCCCTTGCCCCGAAGGAGCAGCCGGGGGCCGGAGCCGGGTCCCGTATTTCGATGCGAGGCGCTGTGGCCCGCGGGGCCGCTCCCGGCCCGAGCCCCGGGCCGCCCCTGGCCCGCTCCGCCCCGCACCTGCCCCGGCCCCGCAGGCCGGCGGGCACCGCCCGGGCGGGCGGCCACGCCGAGACGCGCCGGGCCGGGGCTCCGGCCGCTGCCCTAGGAGGCCGGGGGTGCCCCGGGACCGGGGCCCGGCCCCGCTGCCTCCCGCCCAGGGTAGAGCCCACGCGGGCTGCGAGCAGGGGGCCGCGGGCGGCCGCTGCCGTCTAGGAAAGGGAGGCCAGGGGAGCCCTAATTCCCCGGTAACGATTTCGGGGCACCGCGGCCTCGGGGGGGCCGCTCCGCCCGGGCCGGGGGTGGCCGCGGTCCAGGCGCCCGTTGCACCGCGCTCGCCCCGCGGCCGCGGCCCGCGGACGAGGGGATCCGTTTGCGGAGCGCTCCCACCTCAGCCTCCTCCGCAGGGCCGAAACGAAATGGGCGCCGGGAGGGGGACCCCGGCGGGGCGGCGGCGGCTCCCGTGGGGCCGGGCACGCGCCTACCTGAGCTGGCCGTCTGGCTGCTGTCGAGCTGCGCGGGCGCGCGGGCCAGCGGCGGCAGGTGCACGCTCTGCGGGTCGGAGAGCACCTCGAGGAAGGTGGGCTGCGCGTAGAAGCCGGGGATGCCGCCGGCGCCCAGCAGCCCCATGCCCACGCCGCCCACGCCGGCGGGGCTGAGCACGGAGCGGGCCGCCAGCAGGTGCCCGGCGGGCAGCGAGTCCAGGGCGGCCCGGGGGTGCGGCGGCGGCTCCTTGTTCAAGCCCAGGATCTCCTGGATGCCGAAGCCGGTGCAGCGGGGAGGGGTGGGCCCGGAGCTGGGCTTGGCCCCCGCGGCGGGGGGCGGCGGGGGCGGCGGGGCGGCGGCGGCGGCCGCGCCGTCGGGCTTGGGCTTTGCGGGCAGGCTGGGGGCCAGCGGCGCGCCCGCCTTGCCCGTCATGCTGCGGCCGGCGGTCCCTGGTGCCCGCTCCCGGGAATGCTCGGGAGCCCCCGGCTCAGGCCCCTTTTATCCGCCCAGCCGGGAGCCCGAGCGGGGTCAGAGCGGCGCAGCCAATCACAGGGGCCAGCCGCGATTAGGGATGCCAAAAAGCGGCACCGGCGGCGGCGGGGCCGGTGCCCGCCGCCCGCCGGGGGCCCGTGCCCAGCCCCGCGCGGCCAGGGGCGCCCCCCGGGCAGGCCCCGGGCCCACGGAGCGTGCGGAGCGAGCGGCCTTCACCCACACGCGTGCTGGGGACCACGGGCTTAGCGAGGAATAGAGGCGTCCGTGGTTTTATAAGTACGGCTCCGAGGGTGGCCACGCACAGTGCCGGGGCACCGCTCCCAGAGGAAAGACGTGTGGAGGAGCCGTGTTCAAATATGCCTGTGTCCCTTGCTCATAGCTGGTTCTGAGAGGAATATCTGGTCCGCAGGGAAATGAGAGTCCATGGAGGTAACCCACGGATTAAAGCTAAACTGTGTTCTCTAGAGCAGTGTAGAGATGGAAGTGGTGGAAAAAATACATTGAGGAAAACAAAACATCCCTGCTTTCCCTTCATGAATAGCCAGGGAGGTGACAGAGCATGGAAAGGGAACTGGCCTCTATCCATGGGCCTTATCTTTCACATGAAACGGACCTGTCCATCACTTTCAGAGGCCAAATTTGGGCAGCGGGAGAAATATTTCCTGTAGTGTTTCCTTCAGATGATCCCTGGGCCACGAATCACTGCACAGAGAGACATGCTAGTAGTGTGCTTGGATTTCCTCGTTCTTCTTTTCACAGCTCCTACCAGAACAACCAGCATCCAGTGTCAACAACTAAACTATGCAAGCTGCTCTCCTGTCAACGATCTCTGTTATTTTTTGGTGAAAAGTTTCACTTTTTAATGATTTTCCCTGGTGAACTTACAGCTCCAGACCTCAAATGATGGAGAAACAGCTGTATCTTCCAGAAACTCCTGTCCATGAGCACTGTTTCTGAGGCATATAATTCTTCAGTAACTGAGTAACTTCAGTAACTTTTCATCACCCATGGTCAAGATACTCTCATCACTGCCAGCTGTACCCCAACCAGAAAACATCGAATGAAGATAGAGGCTAAGGTATGGCAATGTTCAGTCAAGAGGAAGCAACCTCTCTACCACAGCTTGTATCTAGGTAAGGTTAGAAATTCTACAACACAGCCCCTGAAGTCTTGTCCATGAAGCTAATTAATCATTAGGGCACCAAGCTAGGCTGGGACTGCAGCTTCAGATCAGCACAAGAAGCCCATCTCAGGTCAGTGAGGAAGAAGCTCTCCCACTGCATCTCCTTGCAGCTTTGTAGGCCTCTGTCACTCATACCACACAGCTGGAGAGTCTCCAGACGAAGTGGAGATTCTCCTGGTTTCAGCAGTGTCTCTAGAGTCAGCTTTCAAGTGCCTGGTGTTCGATGACCTAGCAAAGGCTGGAAACAGTTCCAAAAATTGGTGGAATCTGCTCAAGATGACCAAAATTTACTGTTCTTTATCTGCATTTCCTCTCTCCAGCTTTATAAACAGTAACCTCATCAAACAAGTACACAAGGATAGTCCTCATTACCTTCCTCTTGATTTCCCCTTCAGGGATGAGGCTCTGCTCATGAAGCGCTGAGTAGCTCAGTTTCCATCTAATTTGCTTGTGGTTGGGAATATCAAAAACTACTTCTCTGTTTTGACCACAAGTTAGAGCTCAGACTAGTTCTGCAAAGCTCATGATAGTGGGGTACAAATCAATCAATTYGGCATCCGGTCTTGCAGGCACTGAAGGAATTAAGGTTCCCTGTAAGAGACCCAAGCCCCACACCAGGTCCTCAGACAGCTTTTCACTTGGATGGACATGGATGGATGTACCTACTCTGTTCAAACTATTGCCACTGCTTCCTCCCATCTCCCCTCTGTTGCTAGCTCAAGTAGTATTGACAGAACCCAACCTAACAAGTCCATCAGAGCTCACCAGGCTATTGAGGTCCACTTAATAGCACAATATTTCTGTTAAGAGCACATTACTTCTGTTACTTTGAGAACTGACAGCTTGTGGAGGTGTAGATATAGACTCCTGCTGATATTTATAGGAGTTTCTCGGCTTTTTGACTGCTTTGTTCCAAACACTTTCAGCACCTGCTCCATGGGGTGTCTTGTTGGCCTTGCAGTGGAGTGTTGTCCAAAGCTGTGCTGCATGTCCTCATCTCTCTGCTTCTCCTGGTGTGCTGGGTCCCTCCTTGTTCTCCTGACCATGCCTCCATAGCTGTGAAGGCAGCTGTGTCTCTCTATGTCAGAGAGAGGTGTTTTTGTTAAACTTCAGAAAATACTTGTGAATYACTTCACAGACTCTGAGCATTTTCATTATTCTTGCACAATGTGTTGCACTGTAGATGGATATGGGACATAATAATGCTTGTAAGACAAGCACAAGCACAAACACTTGCTGTATTAATAAAATCTGCTTTATTAATAAAACCTGCTGAGACACAGAGAGCATCTACAGTTATGTAACTACAAGTGTGTAAGTTCTGTCTGTCACATAAAGTCTTCAACCAAGGCTGAAAGTCTTTTTTATTAAGGGATAATCTGTGACTCATCCAGAAGCTTTTGGGCTGATGCAGAAATTATTTAGTGAAGTCTTGTAGCCTGTGTTGAAGTTCAGCCTAGAAGATTGTAATGGTTTTAAACCTGCAGGGCTTAAAAGTCTTTGACTCCATGGAGCTTATGTAACTTATATGGAGTTTTTTTTTTGTTAAAAAGAAAAAAACAAGAGCTACACTTATAAGTAACCTCTGATGTCTATTCTAGTGTGCTGCTGAATACCTTTTCTCTTTACATGTCAGCATATTGATTTCTAAATGACCATTGATGATACGAAGTACAGGACGACAAGGGTACTAAGACGTTTGTCATGCCCATTGCTAAGTGTTCCCAGTTGGCGTGTGCTGACAGAGTAACCTGGGTAAAATTCTCACGCTAGTGAAGCCAGTGGAACGTTGGTCACAGGCACTGACAGAGCTAGGACTTCTCTTTGAATCACTTCTCATCATATATAGCTCCCCTTTGGTTTTTACTTTATACCTCGTCATCTTTACAGACACAGGCAGTTAAAGGCAGTTACAATGAAGCATACACAAGCTATGCTGCTTACTTGGACACTCTAAAATAAGCTGCCCTGAGCCTTTATAAATATTTGTTCAATCCGCTGGGACTGTTGTCCACCTCATTCACAATCAATTTCTAATATTTATTTTGCAGGGAAGGAAGTCCTGCTCAATTCTGAGTAATACTCTGTGATATAAGTACCCCGGGTAAATTTTATGCAGTGCCAAGGTATTTTCTCTTATACACTGTTCTTTAACTCCATTAAATATCCCCTTTTCTTGTTTTGTGAGAAAAGGCAAAGCTGGGACTCTGTCTAACCACCATCATCGTGCAGCAGAAGATTGTGCCCTGTTGAAGGGGAAGAGCAAACATGAGAAGGGGGGTATCCAGCAAGACCCAGTCACATTCCCAGTCATTCAGGCTTTAGAAAAAAYACAGATAGAGGAAAATATTACCAGATCCAGCCTTTGTCTACAGACTAGTGTCCATATTGGGGACAACACACAGCAGAAAAGAAAGAACTTACACAACCTCCTTGTGAGCCTGTGGCGTAGGCTGTGCCCCGTGATATCCATTCTTGGAATTAAGTCCCAGGACAGGTATGGACTAACTGATGAGGAACCAGAGAAATTTATTGTAAAAAGTATGAGTTGAGAGGGATGACTGGAAAAAAAAATGATTTTTTTAGGAAAGATAGGATGAGGTTCCGTCAGACTCTTCAAATAATTAAAAAAAAAAAAAAGCAGCAGAGAAGAGCACCCCGAATTGTCTTGTATCTACTGTGGTTTACAAATGTTTTATAAATGGTATATAAATAGTTTAATGTGCGGCAGGACAGGGGGAAAACTCCAGCTGTAGCTGGACAGCAGAAGTCCTCAAACTGTAAGGCGATGTGAGTGATAAGATAGGATGCCTGGAGATCTTGGACAACTGGGGGATTAGGGCCAAGTTAGACACACATCTTAGATGACTAAGTGGCTCTCACTTGGCAGTCAGAGAAGGGGCTATGAGCCTTACAAGGGCCTTGTAAGCCCTGACATTTATGTTTCTAGGAATAAGAGGTCAAGGTACCAAGAATGTCACTTATTGCATTGCCATTCAGAAGACAGAAATCTTCTGCCAAGGGTGAAATCTAAGGATCAAATTTGGGAAGACAAGTGGCTTTTCTTTTTTTTTTTTTTCTCCAGCAGCAGCTCTTGTATTCCAGATCTTAAACATTAATGGAAAAAAAAATCTTACCCATAAAGTTGCATCAATAATCTTAAAATTATAAAGCAAACATAAAATGATTCAGGGAAATCTAAGCAGTCTGAAGCTAGAGCTGTGTAGAGAAYTACCCTTATTCATATCACAGTATCGATATCAGTGACAGATTCCATTGCCTTTCACTTTCCCGCTGGGGTGACAAGTTTGTGTTCCACACAGGGAGGAAGGGTCTAAGCAGGTCTCTTCTTAGGGATCACCTCTGTTAGGACGCAGCTCTGGGTCTTCTCACCTTTGGCAAATGTGCCTGTTTGCACATAATCCATTGCAAGCGGCACCGGGTTCGGGAACGTGCCCCGGGCTGCGCTCRGTCTGTGGTTGTGGCGGCGGGAAGAGGCACCTCAGCTGTGACTTGTCCTCTGTTCCGCCTGCAGAGCCGGTGCTTTTCACAGACAGGATCCCAGGAGGTGGCTGCTGACCGTGTCACCCTTGCCACCTGTATCACCCCCGGGGTCTTGCCCAGCCGCAGGCAGCGCTCAGTGGCCCTTGGCCGAGCTCTGCCCGCAGGAGCCGCTCGCTCTCCTGCTGCCCAGGCTCATTCCCGTGGSGCTGCAGGGTGCAGCGCAGCCGGCAGGCACCGGCCGCAGCACCCAGGG